TAGGCATTGGGAACATCTCAGAAAATTCCCTTTTTAAAATCACGTCCCCTCTAACCTGAGCTAGCCAGGGTGGTCTTGAGCCTGTTGAGGGCCTGTGGTGGTCTTGAGACTAGAGGGCCTGTGGTGTTCAGATCCAAGTGAACCAAATTGAGCACAGCTTGATGCCCTCCTAAGGGCATATGCCACAGCAATAAAGGCTGCAAAGAAATCCTTTCTGGCAGCCAATTTTGCATCTGCAAGGAACCGTCTGGTGGAGCTGTTCCGAGTTGTCAGAGTCCTATTAAATCCCACTGTTCAGGATGGGAGCCCTAACAATTTGACAGCCCGCTGTGAAGCATTTGCTTGGTTCTTTGCGGGCAAAGTCACTTTGATCTGTTCTGGCCTGGTCACTATGTTAACGGCAGTCTCTGAGGATGTAACATGAGCACCTGCTTGTCCAATTTTGATGGATTCATTTCAATTGGTGAAGCCCGAGGATGTGGACAAGATACTTGGAGGAATGAGAGCAACCTCATGCATCCTAGACCCCTGCCAATCCTGGCTTTTAAATGAAGCCAGAGGGGGATTGGCTGAGTGGGTAAAGGTGGTGGCTAATGCCTCCCTTTGGGAAGGTAATATTCCAGCGAGCTTAAAACAAGCTGTGATAAAACTGCTGTTGAAAAAAAACACCCATCGTTGGACCCCACTCAATTCGTTAACTATCGGCCTGTTTCTAATCTCTCCTTCTTGGGCAAAGTCCTGGAACGTGTGATGGCCTCACAACTCCAGGTATTCTTGGAAGACACAGATTATCTGGATCTGGCACAGTCTGGCTTTAGGCTGGGACATGGTACCGAGACAGCCTAGGTCACTTTAATGGATGATCTATGCCGGGAACTAGACAGGGGGAGTGTGTCCCTGTTGGTTCTGCTGGACCACTCAGCAGCCTTCGATACCATTGACCACAGTATCCTTCTGGGGTGCCTCATGGGAATGGGTCTTGGAGGTACTGTTCTGCAGTGGCTCCGGTCCTTCCTAGAGGGTTAATCCCAGATGGTGTTATTGGGAGACACCTGTTCAACCCCACAACCATTGTCTTGTGGGGTTCCTCAGGGCTCAATACTGTCTCTCATGTTGTTCAAAATCTACATGAAGCCGCTGGGGGAGGTCATCCAGAGTTTCAGGGTGGAGTGTTACCTGTACGCAGATGACGTCCAACTCTGTAATTCCTTCCCACCTACTTCCCAGCTACTACTAAGGAGGCTGTTCAGGTCCTGAACCGATGCTTGGCTGCTGTGTCAGACTAGATGAGGGCGAACAAATTGAAACTGAATCCAGACAATGTTATGAACCCAAAGAGGTTCCTGTTCTTTTGTGCAGAGTGTTCAAGGAATAGTAAGGCAGTTTAGACCAATGAGACACTTTAGAGACCAAATTTGGTTTAAACACTATTCATGTAACATTTATTGAAATACAATCATCACAGAATCATATCAGAATCACATCAAGGGAGAGCTCTCGTGCACATACACATTCACGCATATTCATGCACACACATATAATAATCAGGCTGTTCTGTCCCTTTCAAGTCCTTGTTCTTTTCAAGTTCAGTACATTCGCATTCCAGGCCTCATGACTTATGGGGTACACCTGCACACTCCTTACATGCTTGGTCACACACCTTATTGTCCATTGTTGTTCAGCTATGCCTTACTGCCTCCTCGCATCAACTGCCAAGGCCGTCCTATATCATGCCTTGCGAGAACTCCATGTTGGTTTTTCTTTAGGCCTGTTTCTTCTCTTCTACATGCATTCAAACATTCATTCCTTACAACAAGACAGAAGTACTCTTGGTCAGTCAAAAAGTCGAACAAGAGCATAAGGTTACAGCTTATGTTGGACAGGGTCACACTCCCCCTGAAGACGCAGGTTCACAGCTTGGGTGTGATCCTGGACTCATCGCTGAGCCTGGAACCCCAGGTTTCGGAGGTTACCAGGGGAGCTTTTGCACAGTTAAAGCTTGTGCGCCAGCTACGCCCATACCTTGGGAAATCTGATTTGGCCATGGTAGTCCATGCTCTAGTTACATCCCGTATAGACTACTGCAGCATGCTCTATGTGGGGCTACTTTTGAAGACTGTTCTGAAGCTTCAAATGGTCCAACGGGCAGTAGCCAGGTTGTTTACAGGAGCAGTGCTGGCTTTACCCTTTAAAGCCTTAAACAGTTCCAGCCCAGTTTACCTGCCCAAATGCATCTCTCCCTGTGAACCATCTAGGTGCTTAAGATTGTCTGGAGATGCCCTGCTCTCAGTCCTGCCCCATTCGCAGATGCGATTGTTGGGAACGAAAGTTAAGGCCTTCTTACTGGAGCGACTTACAGGGAGTGTACAACCCCCATGTTATGTCAGCTCTACTGGCTGCCAGTTTGCTACCGGGCTCAATTCAAAGTGTTGGCTTTGGCCTATAAAGCCCTAAACTGTTCTGTTCCCACTTACCTGTCTGAATGTATCTCCCTTTATGAGCCTACTATAGCTTTAAGATTTGCCGAAGAGGAACAGCTCTTGGTCCCACCCCCTTCGCAAGCGCAATTGGTAAGGATGAGAGACAGGTGTAATGAAATGTTTAATTAAAATGTAGGTTTTACATATGTTTATTGATATTGTGATGTAGCAGTAGGCCAGCTGGTGAGTGGCCTGAGCTGGGGCGTTGCTGTGTCGACATAGCCCTCCAGGCAGAAGAGAAAGAGGCGGAGCTAACTGCGACTGAAAGAACGAACACAGTTTGAAAAGAGTCAGTTGGTGGATAGATGAGCCAAGGGATGGTTGCTTCTAATTATATGGAGCTAGACCAAGTAGTTTAAGTCTCTGACAGGTAGTCAGAAGGAAAAGGGCTCTAGATAGTGAACCAAGTGTTTAATCTTCAGCGTTGAGTAATTAAGACTAGAAGTATTTAGCTCTGTAGTATAATCTAGCCTGGATGCTAGAAGAAAGAGATTCCTGGTTGTTTTACTTATGACTTCAGTGTCAAGCTTGAAGCACTAAAAGTGGGACGGAGAAAAGAAACAAAGTTTCAAAATAAATATTAAGGAGAAAGAAGATAAGCCATTGTTAAAAGTTTAATAGCAACAGTTTCATGTTTTCTGAAGAACCAATAATTAAGTGTAACAATAAGAAGATAATGTGTAACCATCAAGCTTATGTGAACCCGAGAAACCTTTAAATAAATGTTGTTTCTGTTCAGTTCAAAATACTGAGTGTTTATGACTACTTATTAAAGAGAAGGTTCTCCAGGAAAGAGAAGGCTGAAGATCTTATGAAGCCGAAGACGCTTTTGTGGCACTGGGATGCACGTACCAAAGTGGCACAAACAGGTGTCCTGGAAATTATCTCTATCTCATATAAACGCCACTCTAAAATAAACAAAGCCTCGGCAACACACATCATCACTATCTTAAGCCCCACATAAGTTTATAAACAGTGGCAAAGGTGAGATAAGAAAAACAAGATCCATCCTCCTTCGCGACAGAAGGGATTGCCCTACTTCTGTTTACACAGGGCTTCTCAATATTGACCTCTTGTTGTGGAACTCCCTCCCCAGTGACATCAAGCTGGCCCCATTCCTCTTGGTCTTCAGGAGAAAGCTAAAGACCTGGCTTTGTATACAGGTGTTTGGAAATTAGGGTAATACGGAATCAACCTCAACAGCTTGAATAATGACCATGGGAAAATTAAAAGATATGGAAAACCAAAACTCGTCACTTTGTTATGTTTTTGATCTGTTTTACTGTTTTTATGTATTTAATTGTTTATATGTTTTAACTGTTTTATAGTTTGATATGATTCTTGTTTCTATGATATGGCATTGAATTTTTGCCAGAGTTTGTAAGCCACTTTCAGTCCCCTGTGGGGTAGGAAAGGCAGGGTATAAATAAAGTAAGTAAGCAAATCAATAAAATGAAGCTGAAAAAGACACAGGTCCGAATGAACAAAAGAAATCAACAGACCTTGTAATCTTTCCATTAGGGCTGGGCGGTTTCGTTCGTTAATTTCATAATTCGTTATTAATTCGTTATTTTTTTTATAACGAAGCGATATTGAACCATTCAGGAGCAACTAAAAATCGAAACAAATTTTTAAAATTTATTTCGTAATTGTTTCGTAATTGTTTCGAAATTGTTTCGAAATTGTTTCGTTATTATTTTGTTATTATTTCCATATGTCTGGTGCAAGTTTTATGGTTGTTGTTTGTTTTATCAGTGATAAAAAATAAATTATCACACCAACAGTCAACAACAGAGGGAGAGGGAAGCTTCAGAAGTTCCCCCTGTCCCATTTGGAGGTTTTTTTAGCGCATTGCGCAATCGCGTCCGCCATTAACGAATCAATTCATTATTGTTTCGAAATTGTTTCGTAATTTCCGAAATTTTGTAAATATCGAACTTTTTAAAAGAAAAATTTCGGAATTCTTTTAAAAAACAAAACGCAAAACCCCCCTAAAAACAAATCGAGTTTAGAAACAAATTTTTCCGTGGTTGCCCAGCCCTACTTTCCATACAAGTCATTTCTACGCCTGGAAATTCTGTAAAAGCACAGACTTAGCATTTGCAACACACGGATCACCTAAAAACCAGCACATTTTGCCCCTGAACATCTACCCATCCATTTCAAATACCAAATTGAATATTTATTTAAAGTACTAAGAAGCACTGAATTCCAGTCAAATTTTAACATCATGTCCTAGTCATTAAAAATTTTAGTCTTAAGGAAGCAATAATTTTGAGGACAAGGAAGCAATTATTTTGTGTTGAAAGGATTTCTTTAGTACTTCCCCTATTAAATCAATTCAACTCCTGTTCATGCCCCCCCCCCACACACACACACACTGGAAAACTCACTTACGCAATATGGTAAAGGTATGGCATGATGTTGCAGAATATTATTGGATATTTGGTAAACATTCAGAGGGACTATTCCAGACCATTAAGTTTGGACTAACTGGACTCCAGGCCTTTTCCTATAAAAATTCACTTCCTTGGTGAGAAAGACAATCTCTCAATGTGTTTTTATTACTACATGTAGCTGTGTCAGATCTATACTTTTTCTTTTCTTAATTTGATTGCTTTCTGTAAACATCCATTTCTCTGCAAACAGAGTTGAAGCTCCCTGTCTGGCTTAATCAAGAGAAACATACCATTAAGGTGAGCAAAGTACTTTGTTGTGATATCAACTGTGTGCTCATTATTTTGTTCTGCTACTACCCATAAAAAATGATTTGAATGTAATTCACAAAATCTTAATTCAGAGTGGGGGTTTCTCCCCAGAGGTGGTGTAGGACTGGAAGAGAGAAAAATCGGACTATCACCCTGTTTGAGTGTGATCAACCTAGTATGGTCAAGCCTGACAACTCTTCCTCCTGTATCACTATTATTATTTCAGTTTCACCTTTTCTTCAGTATAGGACTCAAAGCAGCATATCCAAGCAACAACTCATCAGGGACAAACCAAATCCTGAATCTTTGTTCTGTATTGTCATCCCACCACAATGTTTAACATTGATAAAACACATTGTTTTCTTGAGTCTTTGCACTTTTTGGGGAGCGGGGTGGGGGAGAAATGGACTAAATCAAAATCTACCATATCATCGTCTTTTTCATTGCCAGTTCATGGCACATTTTCCATCAGGAATCACTTTTTTCATGTATGTGAGATTTGAAAGAGTACAAATATGCCTTTTTATTCTGAAATGAGCCTTCAGTAGCTTACTGCAGATTTTTGATGGTTTTGAATAGTTTATGTTTTAATTGGTTGTGATATGCATTAAAATATTTTCCTTGTTTTGATATGCTTTATATTGATTATTACCGTTTTAATGGTATTTATATGGATTTTATTAGGTGATTTAATTTTTTTAACTGATGTATGTATGTATGTATGTATGTATGTATGTATGTATGTTGTGGCATCTAATTGTTGCCAATTTGTACGTCGCCCTGAGTCATGTTTGGGCTGAAAAGGGTGGGATAAAAATGCTGTAAATAAATAATAAATAATTTTTAACTATTGTAAATGCCCCTGTCCAAATTGACCTCATTTATAAATTGAGGACATGGCTAGGGGAGAAAATTATACATTTTGATATGGCCTTGAGATAAGTCAAGGGTCCTTTTGTGGAGAAGGAAATGTGCCAATGCAACCCTCAGGTCCCAGCCGCTAATTACTGCCACTTCCATATTCTTCTCGAGGCATTCAAAAATGCCTTTTGCTTTCTATTCAGTGAAGGGGGTTGTTTCTTTTTGAAGACCAGTATTGACAGTTATAAAAAAATAGAACCATCCCCTTCTCTGATGGAGTGTGAAAGGATAGAAGGTTAGCCCATGTTGGCCAAATGACTGTCGAGGTGTCTACTGACAACACTGGCTCTTTGACTTTGAAATGGAGATGAGCACCACCCCCTGGAGTTGGACATGACTAGACTTAATGTCAAAGGGAAACTTTTACCTTGTAGCTTTTATTATTATTATTATTATTATTATTATTATTATTATTATTAAACTTTATTTGTACCCTGCTAGCATCTCCCGAAGGACACGATGTGGCTTACAAAGGCCAAGGCCTCAACACACAATATACAATACAAAAACTAAAGCAAATTAAAACAATTAAAGCAATATAAACACAGGCAATAAACAATACACAAAAACACAATAACTGGGCCGGGCCAGAGTAATGGGGTACAGGATTAAAAGTGCTGATGTGACAGGTGGTATATATGGCATTATAGGGCAAGTGCAGTGTGCGGCGTGCAACGATCTTAATACTAGTAAAGTGCTTGTGGGACTTGGTATTGGAGATTTCCTAATCTGGGAAGGCACATCGGAACAGCCAGGTCTTCAAGTTCTTTCTGAAGACTGCCAACGTAGGGGCCTGTCTAAGATCTTTGGGGAGGGTGTTCCAGAGACGGGGGGCCACCACGGAAAAGGCCCTGTCTCGTGTCCCCACCAGGCGCGCTTGCGACGCAGGCGGGATCACAAGCAAGGCCTCTCCAGATGACCGAAGTGAATGCGTGGGTTCGTAGATGGAGATGCGGTCACGCAGGTAGGATGGTCCCAAACTGTTCAAGGCTTTGTAGGTAAGCACCTGCACCTTAAATTGGGCTCGGAAAATAAACGGCAGCCAGTGGAGCTCCTTGAACAGGAGGGTTGACCTCTCTCTGTAAGGGGCCCCAGTTAACATTAACACAGATGGAGTATTTCATTAACTCACTGAATTTTATAATTTTTTTCATGTCAGAAGCAACTTGAGAAACTTCTGGTGTGAGAGAATTGACTGTCTGCAAGGACGTTGCCCAGGGGACGCCTGGATGTTTTGATCTTTTACCTTCCTTGTGGAAGGCTTCTCTCATGTCCCCGCATGAGGAGCTGGAGCCGACAGAGGGAGCTCATCTGCACTCTCCCCGGATTCGAACCTACTACGTGTTAGTCTTCATTCCTGTCATCAGCACAAGGGTTTAACCCACTAATGACTGTACTGTTTTTTTTGTCTATTACAGATTTCTTCCAGAGGAGCAAGATGCCTAATTTCAGTTTATGGGTGACATTTGCCCTGCTCTTTGCTCTTACCAAAAGTGCTAACCAAGAATCTCCCACAACTTCACCTGTAATGAAAATAGCCCCAGGCAATGTGGATTTTGCCTTCAAATTGTACCACAAACTTACTTCACAAGTGTCTAACAAGAACCTGTTCTTTTCTCCTTTGAGCATCTCCACTGCTTTTGCCTTGCTGTCATTGGGGGCTAAAACCACCACTCTGAATCAGCTTTTATCAGAACTTGGCTTTAACCGGGCAGAAATCAGTGAGGAAGAAGTACACAAAGATTTTCTCAATCTCCTTCAAACATTAAACAATCCTACGGCAGAAAGAGAACTAAGCATTGGAAATGCCATTTTTATAAACAATCAGTTTGAACTCCTGAAGGAGTTCGTAGAGAACGCCAAACATTTTTATCAAGCAGATGTACTCCCTGCTGATTTTAGTCACCCCGCAAAAGCAGAAAAGCAGATCAATGACTACATCAACCAAAAAACCAATGGAAAATTGAACGATGTAGTCAAGGGTTTTGATTCATCGGTAGTTACAGTCATTGTCAACTATATTTTCATGAAAGGTAAGACAAATTTACCATATCATTGTGTTTTAAAACTATGTTATTAAATCTGAAGGAGACAACTGGCCTCACCAAATGACATAGAGAGATCACTCTGCTTCCACAGTGTACATCATTCCGATATAGAGAGAGGAGCCCTTGGGATGTGATGAGGAATTTGTGAGACACTACTGGAATCTCTCAAATAGAGTAATAAATTTGTCTAGACAAAAAACTGAACAGCAACTCATATATATCCACCCACTAAGCCACCAATTCACCCACAAGGTCTAACAGGGAGAAATCTCCAGTTTTCCTTATAGAGCCCAAGCAAGTAGCTTTACTTACAAATACTTATGCATAACTCTCTGTAATTTTTGTTCCTGGATTACAAATGTCACTTCCTAATTGGTTCTATCATAAAAATATGGTTATGCAGGACATCCTGCAGCACATTTTCCTATAATTTTTAAATGAATACATCATAGGACCTCATAATATTGGCCTCCAGAATAGCTACGGGATCGCCACCATCAGGGTGGTGGTGGTGTGGGGAACCCATCGCCCCACAACCCGCATCGGCTCATTTACCCTAAACCCCATCCCACTGGGGGGAGCTTCCGCTACCTTGCTTAGCCATCATAGTTGCCAGTACAGTACCACTGCAGTGGCATATGCTTTTTTCGCTCTAAACGAAAGCTGCACTGGCATATGCTGCAGAAAACAACCCCATCTGATGAGGTTGATAGAGTTTCAACCAATTCAACATAAATTGGGGCAGCCACAAAAAAGAAATATCTGAAGTATAACAACTACTTTCACAGTATGTACCCTAAAAGTTTATACTTCTGCATAGAAATATTATTTTTAAGCAAAAAACAACTTTTGACCTTTGAATAGTCAAATTCTTCTAAGACAGGATTTTTCTTGTTAGAGTTTGAGAACACTGGAATAATATATTAATGCTATCTCTACTTACTGGGGATGCCATGATACAGCAAACTATTCCTATAGAAAACTGAACTAAAGTTTTCAAGCAGCTTGAAAGCTGGCAAGGTAGCTTCCTCTGCCAACGGGTTACTACCTCCATTTTGTCCTATGCACATTTTAGCTCTGCTGACACATAGCTTCCCAGGTTATCCCCACTGCTTGCACCAAAGTGCCTAAGCAAGTTTATTGATTAGTCCACTGACTGTATCAACATTAAAGACAAAAACAAAAATGTACTCAAGTAGACACTAATCACTATCCTAAAACTCCTGTTATAGTGAACTAACACACATTAAAACTTGATTAAGTTAAAAGATAATTAAAAATATTATCATTAAAATGCCAAGGTAAAATTACATACCACAAAAGTTAAAAACAAAGGTTAAAACTGCAGGGGTGATGCAGATATTTGAACTGGATTGGGATTGTGTAATAGCTGGTCTTAGATGTTTCTGTAACTAGTCTGGTTGCTGTATTTTGAACCAATGGGAGTATTTGATCTTTGTACAGAGGTGGTCCAATTAATAGCAGATTGCAGAAATCCAACCTTGAGATTACCACCTTGATTTTGCCATTTTAAAATAGGGACACAATTTTAGTACACCATTCTATGTAATGAGACTCAAGCATCTAAGGATTTTGGAACTTAAGGGAGGGGGGGAGGAGGGAATCTGGTCCCACTATTATCTATCATCAACACTTCTCTTATACTATTGGATTTTATATCTAAGAAAGAAAACATTTTTAATAATAACAATAATAATAATAATAATATATTTTCCACCCTATCTCCCCGAAGGGAGATAATTAACACTGTCTTCCTATGATGAAACTGATGGAGAGTTCAAAATTTTTTTACAATGTTTTTCACTATTGTCCTCATGATTGCTTATTGTGTCCAGATGAGAAAGTTGAAATTGTCCATAATTTCAAAACTTCCGTTTCAAATCTTGAAGGTTTGAGTTTTTAATCTAGGCTAAATGTCTTTGTACAACTTATTTGAAGAGATGTTACAAAAAAAACAAAAACAAACCACAATTCTCATGCCTTTCTCTCTGCAAGCTTACTGGGAAGTACCTTTCAACCATGCGAGTACACGTGAAAGGAACTTTTTTGTGGATGAACAAACAACAGTGAAAGTTCCTATGATGAACAGACAACATCCCTTTGATATTTACGAGGACAAGGATCTATCCTGCAAGGTCTTGCACCTTCCATACAAGGGTGATATTTCAGCACTATTCATTCTGCCTGAGCCCGGAAAAATGAAACTGGTGGAAAACGCTCTGGGAAAAGAAGTTCTGTTAAAATGGGGGAAGTCACTAAAATCACAGTAAGGCAATGTGTTGTACTGAATGAACTGGAAAATCCTTGCTACTCATCCTGCATTTATACTGCCCATATAGACTCATGTAATACAATGGCATTATAGGGGTTTATCCTGACATGGCAGTGTAGAACCAGCCTGAAAATTCAGTTCTAGTTTCCAGTTCCTGCATGGAATGTTAACAGGCATTCAAAAGCCATTTCAAAACTGAGGGGCACTGTTGTTTTGTTTCTAAAGTGTTTCTAAAATATCATTAGTGAAAATTATGTTACTATAACAGGAGTAACAAAATTTCATTACTTTTTCATTTTAGTAATTACACAACTAGAGAAATTTCAGGGGATCCTTTCTCCATCCTTTTTACAGCTATTGAGTGAAACATACTACAATGGTAGAACACATGTACCACTGTAGGCTCACCAAATTTAAGAATGTTTCACTTATCACGTTTTTTTGCGGAAATTTTCAAAAATTTTATTAACAACATTTTTTAAAAAAACCCTACAAGAGCAATCTCCTTGAATTTTCTATACAATGACACAAGATAACAGGGAATTATTCAGAAATATTCATAGATTTATTTTTTAAAAAAAGCCATGATGACTATTTCATTGAATCTCTCATATTAACCAATACAAACCAATATTAACCAATTCTACATTTTTTATAGAATACTTTTTTTGGTTGGGATTGAATGTTTACTTTTAAGCTTTTTTGTATTTATATTTGAATTATTGTATGTTTACTTTTAAGGTTTTTATTGTATTTGTATTTGAATTACTTCTAAGCTTTTTATTGTATTTATATTCAAATTATTATGTCATGTTTATTATTGTATGTTTGAATTGATATGTTAATTGTTTAAATTGATATGTTCTGTTTATTATTATATGTGTAATGCGGCATTGTATGGCATGGATTGTAAGCTGCCCTGATTCCCCCACTGGGGTGAGAAGGGCAAGGTATAAATGTAGTATAAGAATAATACTAGAATTGGAGGGGACCCCCAAGGGCCATCTAATCCAATCCCCTTCTTCCAGGTGGAAAGGCACTATCAAAACCCTTCTAAACTAATTAATATGCTTCCCCTATTGAGTTGGAAAGAATCCCCAAGGGACATCCATTTAGGAATTTCTTCCCAGCCCAGCACAGAGATTTACTTACTATAAGTATCAGTCAGTTCTCTTCTTTGCAGATTCAACAATTTATTAGAAATCTGGCTGGCTGTTGCTACGTCCCTCCCCTATCCTGATTAGGGCTTTCCAATGTGAGCAGAATTCTGGGAAATGTAGTTTAGGACCTTTTGAATTCTCTGGCATAGGGCTTCTTGCCTTCTCAAACTACATTTCCCAGAGTTCTGTACTTTCTCAGTATTTTTTCCAGTGAACTCTGCTCCCTGTTTTCCCTCTCCTAATGGCGAGAAGCCATTAATTTAAAGAGAAATGGGAGCCTTTTTGGCTACTTGCCATGAACATGAACCTTACTTTGGGAAGCTTCTGAGCATTACAACATTAAAAGAAGAAAGGATTGGGTAAGTTTTTATTCTTAAGTTTTAGGCACAGGCCACACCCACGTGTTGGATATCACTTCGGAAGTACAGATTTAATACATTTTAATGTGACTTACAGAGCGTCCAAAAATTTTGCACAAGTCTAGTCACGATCTCTCAATCTCATATACTTGCTAAAATGGGTTTGAATTGTGTGCATTCCAATTTTTACCCTCTTTCACAGGCTGAAAGAGAATCCATTAGTTTCAAGACTTCTCTAGCACCATGGAAGTTTTCAGTGTAGAGTGGAATAGAAAGGCAAATATACAATTCTGAGTTCAAGAATAATGCTCTTGACTCAATTCATAGCTGTAGTCTTCCTCTTCTCTCCATTTTTAAATATAGCCAATAACTTACAAGATTATATATTCATAAAAGAGGAGTGTTATAGTCAATCTGCAACAACAACAATAACAATAATAACAATATAAATAGTATTTGTTTCTCAGCTCGACTCATGGCTTGAGGTAAAGTACAATACACTTAAATCATATTACCATAAAATGCATAGTACAAAGTTTAAAAATAGTACAAATAGAATGTAAATTTAAAATAAACTGTTTAGGTCTGTGGGAAGAGATTGTTCTTTAATTGTTTTAATTTCTGGCAGCTCATTTAGCTGTAAGAGTTCTTCTGGCAGGTTATTCCACAGTCTAGGAGAAACCAATAAGAATGTCCTCTGGGTGACAGTTACCAGACTGGTTGTGGCTGGTTGGAGTAAATCTCTCCTAGAGGACCTAAGTGTATAGAGCAGTTTACACAGGACTTGATGATCCTTTATAGCCTTATCTACTGTATCCTCTCAGATGAGATACAAAATCGAGATCGTCCCTGAAACTGAGCAGGGAGTCAAACAGACAACAAACAGTAACACTGGCCAAAGAATGCACCATGTTCCAGTTCTACTTTCAAACCAACTTACTCAAAGTACTTGTCAAGATAGAAAAAGTTTACTTCTTGCATCAGTATTATATAGAAGCTAAGAGCTGCCAAAGTCAAAATGTGCATGATGTTTAGTGATCAATACAGACATTGGATAGATCTTGCTTGTTGTTTAAGAGAATGTTCTCAAGATCTGGAGTTGCATGTAACCATGACATCTGATTGTTGACCTCCTGCATGTACTATTGCAGTGACAGCATTTCTAGCATAACACAAATGACAGAATTCATCAGGTAATATAAATTATGGGGAGTCAGCCATTGTCAAGATTTAGATGATCAGGCTAACAAGAATAGATTTAAATCTTACACCTTAAAGCAGAAAAATATTGTCTCCCACTAATCACAATCCAGAATCCAAGAAGCAGTTCTTTGCCCATTTTCAACTCATGCTGGACACATGTAAAACGCTGTAGATGGTTTTATCAAATCACAATTAGACACCAGCATGACCTTCTGATTTTTAAGAGAGATTTTAAAAAATAAGTTTGCAACAACATCATGCAAGAAAGTATGGAGGATATTTTGTAATGGTGTAATAATGTTTTCTTTTCTCTGGGTACAAACTAGTACATATGCCAACATCAATAAAGGTTTTACAAGAGAAGATAAATTGATCTTAAGGTTGCAATGAGTTGGAAATTCTTGAAGACACATAACAACTACCACATTTTAAAGGTGTTGAACAAAAGCAAATGGGGAGCTGCAGTTGCCCATGCTTAGTATATGGACACCTTACTCTGATTCTTCTTTCAACAGGAGAGTACAACTCTCTCTTCCAAGGTTTTCAATATCTGCTGAGTATGATGTAAAAGACCTATTAAGTCAATTGGGAATTACTGAAGTATTCACGGATCATGCAGACCTAACTGGAATTACGGGGCAGCATAACCTTAAGGTTTCAAAGGTAATTTTCCTCTTTCAACATGCTATGAGAAATGGCCCACTGAACTCGTATTGAAAAAAACTCTAAGCACAAAATTTTGGGTGAAATAGTGAACTACTTTATCAAACACCTTGCAAGGGCGCCTTACAAAGAAAGGCACAAAGAGTTACCATGTCATTTAAATCCCCCTTTCCCCATGAGTCTCATCATAGAATCATAGAGTTGAAGAGACCTCATGGGCCATCCAGTCCAACTCTGTTGCCAAGAAGCAGGAAAATTGCATTCAAAACACCCCTGACAGATGGCCCTGACAGATGGCTTAAAAGCTTCCAAAGAAGGAGTCTGTACCACACTCCGGGGCAGAGAGTCCACTGCTGAACAGCTCTGAAAGTCAGAAAGTTCTTCCTAATGTTCAGATGGAATCTCCTTTTTTATAGTTTGAAGCCATTGTTCTGCGTCCTAGTCCCCAGTCTCATGATTGGATCGTGTCAAAAGCATTGTCCAAAGAGCCTTCGACCAATCACAGTTCACCTGACACAGACAGCCTGCTGCCTTAAATGGAATTTCTTCTTTCATGTTTCCTCTGGAACATTTCCCTCCTTTCTAAACCTGATTTCAATTATCTCAACTTTACGTGACTGGGCCCATTAGTCTCTCAACTTTAAGCGACCAATTTCATCAGTCCTTGAATCTTCGACCCTTCCAGCATCAGTAGCAGTCACTTTTATTCCAATCTAATTCCCCCCTCCACCTCAACTGCTCTCAGCATCTATCATTTCTTTATCTGCAGTGTCTGTTTAAGGAGCTCATCATATTTAGGGAGTGATTCACCATGGATCCTATCATCAAGCCACTTTTCTATTGTTTTCTCTGCTGCCGTGATTCATCACAGACCATTGGCTGAGCTGCTGAAGCAGTGCTCAGGCTCTCTTTGGATGAGCCGCATCAGCCCCCAGCTGCTCTTCCCAATTCTCTGACATCACAGCCAATCACAGTGAAGCTGGCTCGGGGGGGGGGGGGGCAGGAAATTTGGATGGGAAAAACTATATATATTCTGTAATTCCCTGCTCAGGAGTATGCCGGCTCCTTTGCAGATTACTGTGTCGGATCATGCAGACCTATCTGGAATTATTTCAGCTGGAATAGTCATCCTTTCCAGCTGGAATAGTAAAACTTTGGTGGCCTTGCTTCATCCTGGTGGGATTTATTTGGAAATAGGGAAACTTTTATTGTTGCTTATTGTCTCACCAGGCTTAGTGAACCCTCCTTTTTTGGTCTTTGCTGGTCTCTGCTCCAACAAGACCCTCTAAATATGTGTACTGCTTCGGTTTGACACTCCTTGAACTGCCATGGTTCATTGAAATGGAATCCTGAGAGTTATAGTTTTACAAGGTCTTTTGTCTTCTCTCCCCAAGAGTGCTGATGTTTCCCCAAACTACAACTTGGAGGATTCCATAGCATTATAAACTACATCTTTCAGATTACTTGAAGCTTTGTTTGGGATGGTGTGACATTATGTCAGGTGGTAGAATCAGCTTTTATTAGTGTCTAGGGAGCCTCAAAATGACTTAAACAATCATCTGATAATTTTCTTTGTCTTGCTTACTTTCTTTACAGGCTATTCATAAGACATTTCTTAATGTCCATGAAAACGGCACCGAAGCTGCAGCTGCCACTGTCGTTGAAATTATGTTCAAGAGTAGGAACTGGAATTTACAATTTACTTTTGACCACCCTTTCATTGTATTAATTGCTAATAAGAATACCAAATCCATCTTGTTTTTGGGGAGAGTTGTAAACCCCACGAAGAACTAAGTGCACACCCAGAATATGGCCTATGTGAGCCGCATCGAGTCCTGCGAGAGATGCTAGCGGGGTACAAATAAAGTTATAATAATAATAATATTATAATAATATCTAAAACAACATCTAACGCCTATGTAACAGCATAGCATTTTCTATGAATGGAATTATTTTTATGTGCCAGCTGTTCTGCATCTTACTATGGCCTGCAATAATAAAAATAAAGATTAGCAATGTTTCTTCCACAGGACATATTCTGACACTTCATTGCATGCGGTTGTTATTGAAACCTGGCACTCCAAAATCCTGGATGGGTATGATTAGATGGCCATGGAGGGTGCTACCAGCTGATGATCTTTTCTCCTTATACACATAATTGGGGAAACTTCAGGGGCTCCTTTCTCTCTCATTTTTACAGCTATTGGAGTGAAACTCACTACAATGGTAGAACACATTTACCACTCTTAACTCACCAAATTTCAGAACATTTCACTTCTCCATGGATTTTGGGGGGATTTCCAAAGTTTTTATAAATAACATGTTTTAATGATAAAGAAAATATGCTCCTAGTTTGAAAGTACTATTTTCTGTTTAATTGTGTAGTTCTAATTTTAAAAATAGTGTTTCTACACTAGGAATCTTTTTGGTCAAAAACTTTGTTAAATGGGTGGATGGCGATGTTAAATTGGTGGACTCGAAATATGTAATAACATGACATCCCTCATACAAAAACAAAGTTTTTGCACTTGAATAAACTTCCCTGTGTTTTTATGATAGAACCGATCAGGAAATGACATTTATAACCCAGGAACAAAAATGATAATTTATTGGAACTCTGGCTGGCTACAGAGAGACAAATCTCTCTGATGCTGAGCAATGCGCTGCATTTTGGGGGATACAGTTTAGGGCAGGGCTGGCCTTTTGAATTCTCTGGCATAGAGCTCCTCCCTTCCCAAACTACATTTCCCAGAGTTCTGTGCTGTTCCCAGAAAACACACTGCTCTCTCTTTTCCCACTCCTAATGAAGTGGCAAAATAAGTCATTTAATTTACAGAGGAAAGGCAAGCCATTAAGCTTTGTTTCTTTGCACTGAATATGAAACTAACTTTGGGAGACTACTGATATTTACAAAACTGAAATAAAAAGTATAGGGTAAGTTTTAAATCTTATTTTTTTTGGTGCAGGTCATGCCCACGTATTGGATATTGCCTCGTAAGTTTGAATTTAACAAATTTGATTGGAATTACAAGGACAAATGAAAAAATGCACACCTCTAATATATATACACACTAGGCATGGTTAGGTCCAGTAGGAATCTTCATAATTCAGAATACATTTGAAAAAATACTGTTTTGAACTTTTTTAGGAAACCGGAAGTCCCTTTGCCCTTCCAAAGCTAGTCTCGCCATTTTTCTTCTGACTCAGGAAGTGAGTCGGAAATTATTCTGGTCCCTGGCCTCGGCTCAAGCCAGAGAAGCAGATTCCTGCTTCTTGGCAGGGGGTTGGACTGGATGGCCCATGAGGTCTCTTCCAACTCTTTGATTCTATGATTCTATGATTAAGCCAGTTTTAAACCGGGGAAGGCTGCATTTCCTCCCTTTGCTTTCCCCGCTTCTTCCTCAAGCCAGAGAAGCCAGTTTTAAACCGGGGAAGGCTGCATTTCCTCCCTTTGCTTTCCCCGCTTCTGCCTCAAGCCAGAGAAGCCGGTTTTAAACTGGGGAAGGCTGAATTTCCTCGTTTTGCTTTCCCCGTTTCTGCCTCAAGCCAGAGAAGCCAGTTTTAAACCAGAGGAATTTCCTCAGCTTGCTTTTCCCCGCTCCTAGAGTAAAACAACTACTTTAAAAGTAAAGACCACCCAATGAAACAGGAAATAACACTTTCAAACCATTAATGAAAGGATTCAGAAGCCTCGGAAGTTTCAAAAAGTTTTCAACATTTTTTTCTGTGAAAATTGGAATTGACTTTAGAATCAAACCGCCGGCGCCCTTTACATCCGAAATGGGTTTTGAACCATTTTTTAAAATCAAACAAACCTAATACATGGGACCCAGATCTAAACACAACGATTGTGTATGTTTCATATAAACCTTATCCACATACCCTGAAAAAATATATTTCAGTACTGTTTTGTGCTTAAAGCAACATTTATAGTCACCGAAGCATCAAAAAGTAAAGGTGTGATATCTCAGCCCTGCATATTGATGATTCTGCAAAACTTCGGAATTCCAGATAAAGGATGCTTACTCAATAGATATTATCAATGAAGTAAAGGTGATTTTAAATGCAGTTCCACGGTATATAGTAAGAAAACTATTAGAAAGATTAAACATTTACAAGACAGTATACCCTTAAAAGTCTATTTTAGTTTATTTTAAAAAGATATTCACATTTTTGTGTTATACCTCACCTCTACCAATATAGATCCCTTTTGCCATTGTGTCAATGTTCTTCCCAATTAGAAAGGACAATAGAATTCCTGGTATTATCGCCAGTTATGTTTGGGGGGGGGGGGAATTCACCATGCAGTGTAGCGAATCCAGCATGCAGAAGGGGGAACATCAGCTCACACTGTGCCCTGCATCACACACATTTTCCCTTACCCATACTATGGGTGAAAGTGTGACTACCCAGCTCCCCCCCCCCACACACACACACACACTCACCCCATTTTTCTCAATGACAACACTTTTCAGCATCCTAGCATGCTTGCAGGATGCTGGATGCACAGAACCCTTTTGGAAGTAGCTCTACATTGCCTGATGGGCTTCACCAGACTCCACGCTTCCAGCAACTTGCAAGCATCCAAGAGCGCTTAAAATTATCAATGTGATGAGGCCACAAGAAAGCAGCACTTTGCCCGTTGTAATCTTGTAGCCAGTATCTGAGTCATGTTTCATGGGTTGCAGCACATAGTCTTTTTCCAATCAGAGAAATGTGAGGTAGATAGCTTTCACAACAGGTGTCATTGGAAAGATCACTCTGGTAGCCTGGGCCTAGTTCACAGAGGCTTTTCTTTTTCTTTCTTCCCCCATATTTTAATTATGTTTTAACAGAAAAAAATCAAAAGTAAAAAAAAGCAACAATACTTATACATGCATGAACACAGACATACCTAACAAGAATTCAATATCCAAATATACAACATAGATCTCTGTTCTGATTGCATATGGGACAGTAAAACATCTATATATATAAATTTCCTACTGGTGTCCAACGGGGAAGCAAAACTCTAAAACCCCTCCACAAAACTCTACCAAAATTGCCATGCCCCAAGGACAACCCACTAGGTACAAACTAATCCACTCAGAAATCAAAACCACACAACAACAACCACAAAAAACGGCAAAACAACTGAGCATGCGCACTGGCGCAAACTCCCCGACGCGCGCGCACACATGGCCCCTCACCCTCCCCCCCGGCGCGCAAACACACACACGCGTGCGCGCCCCCTCACCCCCCCGCGGCACACACACACACGTGCGTGCGCCCTCACCCCCCCCACGCAGCACACACACACGCGCGCGCGCCCTCACCCCCTTGCGCGGCACCCCTTCTAAACCCATCCCCCCTCCCCTCCTCCCTCTTACCCTTCTCACGTTACCTCCAAGCCATGCCCCCTTCTAATCTGTCAAGGAAGAAAGGAGAGAAAGAGGGAGGGAAAGAAAGAAGGAAGGAAGGAATGAGGTAGGAAAGGAGAAAGGAGAGAAAGAGGAGGAAGAAAAAGGGGGAGAGGGAAAGTGAGAGAAGGAAGGAGAGAAGGAAAGAAAAAGGGAAAGAAGGAAGGAATGTGGGAGCGAAGGAAGGGGGGAAGATGTAGAGAAAGAGGGAGGGAAGGAAAAAGAGAAGGAAGAAAAGAGAGACTGCAGAAGAGAAAAAGGAAGAAGGAAGGAAAGAGGGAGCGAAGGAAGGGGATAAGATGTAGAGAAAGAGGGAGGGAAAGAAAGGAGGAAAGAGAGAAGGAAGAAAACAGAGACAGCAGAAGAGAAAGAAAAAGGGGGAAGGAAGGAAAGCAATAGAGAAGGAAGGAAGGAGAGAAGGAAAGACGGGAAGGAAGGAAGGAAAGAAACAGGGAGTGAAGGAAGGAGGGAAAGAAGGGGAGATAGGGGAAAGGTTGGCCACAGCAACGCATGGCGGGTACAGCTAGTATACAAATAAATTTGTTTTAAAGGTAGATTTCTTCATCCCCTTTTTCTTTTTCTCCATAATGGAGTATTTTTTCTCCAAGTTTAATTCCCACAAATCATTGATTTTAAAATTATTTTAAAATTAACAAATATATGTCATAACAGTTTATATTTTCAAACTTATTCATAAATCTTTCCCCTTTGCTCTGATATATATATTGGTAAAAAGATTTCCATTCTTCAAAGAATATGTCCAATGACTTATTCCTCAACAGCATCATTAACATGTCAGTTTTTGCTCTTTTCCAAGCCTTTACTGTCCAGAGTTGGCATCTCTGTTGTTTTCCACTTTTGAAGCATATAGAATTATTGCCTTTGTTAGCATGTATTGCATTATTCTTTCGTGTTCTTTTTTATCTGATTTCCAATAGTCCTAGTAATGTAAGTCACACTCCCCCTGAAGACACAGATCTGCAGCTCAGGGGTTCTCCTGAGCTAGAACCCCAGATTGTGGCAGTGGCCGGGGGAGCATTTGCACAATTAAAATTTGTGTGTCAGCTGTACCTGTACCTGTACCTTGAGAAGCCAGACTTGACCACAGTGGCCCATACTCTTGTTATATCTCATATAGACTACTGCAATACACTCTGTGTGGGGCTGCCTTTGAAGACTGTCTGAAAACTCCAAGTACTCCAACTGGCGGCAGCCAAATTTCTCATGGGAACAACTTACAGGGAGCATACAACTCCCGTGTTATGTCAGCTCCACTGGCTGCCAGTTTGCTATCAAGCTCAATTCAAAGTGCTGGCTTTGGCCTATAAAGTCCTAAATGGTTTTAGTCCAATTTACCTGTCTGAACATATCTCCTTTTATGAGCCAACTAGAGTGTTAAGATCTGCTGGAGTGACACTGCTTTCAGTCCCACCGCCTTCACAAGTGCGATTGGTAAGGATGAGAGACAGGACTTCTCAGTGGTGACCCCTTGGTTGTGGAACTCCCTCCTCAGTGACCTCAGGCTGGCCTCATCCCTCCTGGTCTTCAGGAGAAAACTAAAGACCAGGCTTTGTATACAGGTTTTCAGTGATTAGGGTAATATGGAATTGATGTCAACAGCTTGAATAATGACCATGGGAAAATCAAAAGATATAGAAAACAAAGACTCGGCACTTTGTTATGTTTTTAATCTGTTTTACTGTTTTTATGTACTTAATTGTTTATATGTTTTAACTGTTTTCTAGTTTGATATGGTTTGTATTCTTCTTGTTTCTATGATATGGCATTGAATTTTTGCCGGAGTTTGTAAGCTGTTTGAGTCCTTTGCGGGGTGAGAAAGGCAAGGTATAAATAAAGTAAATAAATAAATAAAATGCAGTTGAGAAACACAGATCAAAATGGACAAAAGAAATCAACAGACCTTGAAATTTCTCCTCTCAAGGTATTCCTATGCCTAGAAATTCTGTAAAAGCACAGCCTTAGCAGGGTTGTTGTAGGTTTTTCCGGGCTATATGGCCATGTTCTGAAGGCAATTTTTCTCCTGACGTTACGCCTGCATCTATGGCAAGCATCCTCAGAGGTAGTGAGGTCTGTTGGAAGTAGGAAAAATGGGTTTATATATCTGTGGAATGACCAGGGTGAGACAAAGGACCCCTGTCTGCTGGGGCTAGCTGTGAATGTTTCAGCTGATCACCTTGATTTGCATTCAATGGCCTGGAAGCACCTGGGGAGAATCTCTTGTTGAGAATGATTTTATGTGCCTGTTTGTTTCCCCTCTGTTGTTTTGCTGTTGCAATTTTTGAGTTTTTTTAATACTGGTAGCCAGTTTTTGTTCATCTTCATGGTTTCCTCCTTTCTGTTGAAATTGTCCACATGCTTGTGGATTTCAATGGCTTCTCTGTGTAGTCTGACATGGTGGTTGTGAGAGTGGTCCAGCACTTCTGTGTTCTCAAATAATATGCTGTGTCCAGGTTGGTTCATCAGGTGCTCTGCTATGGCTGATTTCTCTGGTTGGAGTAGTTTGCAGTGCCTTTCATGTTCCTTGATGCGTGTCTGGGCACTGTGTTTGGTGGTCCCTATGTAGACTTGTCCACAGCTG